GAGCTCTGCTGTCATGGACAAGAAGCCACCAGAGGCTGGAGTGAGACCCAGAATGAACCCTTCCTAGCACATCAGATGGAGGGTGGCTCTACTGCCACTTGATCCCAGACCTCTGGACTTCAGAGTGAAGACAAGTCTCCGTTGTCCTGAGCCATTCAGTCCATGATGCTGTCGGGGCAGCCCAGGGAAAGAACACAGGCATGTTCTGGTCTACCCACTGCTCTTCTAGACCACAGCTGCCTCTCCAAGCCCACCCTGCCAGAGGATGAGGGGGAAGCAGGGCTCTTTACAAGCAATGGTCACTGACTGAAGCTCTGGCCACAACTCTCAGCCTCCTGGGCCAGTGGGAGGATGAGGACAGGGGTTGGGGAGTCAGCCTCCCTGGAGCTGCCACTGAGCCTCACTGCTGCTCCAGGAGCCCAGCAGCCCATGTTGCTCAAGCCCCACTCTTACTCCAGCCCTGCCTCTCCTCCCAGCCATCAGCAGCTTGGAGCAGAACTGTCTCCCTTTTCACCTCATTAGGAAAGGTGACCAGAAAGGCACAGAAAGAGGAGGCACCAACTGGTATCTCACCTGTGTCCACAGGTCCCAGGCCGGCCCTTTAAGGGGATGAGGGTCCATGGTCCTGCCAGCTGAGCATCCAGGGTACCAGGTTCATATCTAAAGACCAGCCAGAGTATGGTAGGCTTTGAGACCTTCCCTGCAGGGTGCCCACCTCTCTCCTGCATTGTTACACGTTCTTGATGCAGCCTGATTTCCGTGTATCTGGGTGACATAGAAACAAATTGTTCAATTTTCTAATTAAACAAAATCCCTGAGGACCCACGGCATAAATGTTTCCTGGTCCAAGCACATTTCTAAATGGTAGGGCAGGTGTTTAGGGCAGTGTGGAGGCTCTTGTATCTGGAACTATCACAGTAGATATAGGAAACACTGCAATAGAATTGGACAGCAGGGAAAACAATTGGGCTGAACTCTGAATATTGCGTGGGAATTTAAAGCGGAGGTGTGTGTGGGGGGGGGTGGGGGTCAGCATATGGAAAACTATTAAGAGGAAACATCAAGGGACATTCAGACTAAAATGACTTAAGATTCTTCTGAAGACAATGAAAGTAATCAGACATCAACTAGGGCATGATGGAGACAGAGGACCCTCATCACCTGCTGGCCCCAGGAACGTGGGTTTTAAGGATAATCAGATATGACATGTGTGTTGCTATTAAAATTACTCAAGGGGGTTCTTTGCTAATTTGCTTTTTACAAGAAAGTAACAGATGAGTCCAGGGAAAGATTCAGGAGCCTGACTAAAGTCTGACAAGCACAGAACCTCTCTTATTCCCCTCTCTTGTTCAAAGAAAGAAGAGGCATTATTCTTTAATCTTTTAGACAATATAAGGCCATTATCTTATTGGTTGTCTTTTGTTCATTTAGGACCAGCTGAACCATCTATTGGGACTTGGTAGTTAACATTTGCTGGATAATGTAAGCCAGGCATTTATGGGGAGGAAATTTCTACAAAAAATAAATAAAAACAATGATTAATAGTAGGAAATTCAGTTTCTGAAGAAGACAGCCAGTGATTTCTGGATGTTGGGCTGGAGAATGGCAGTGACAATTCAGTAGGGTTCCCATTCTGGAATGTTCTGGTAAGCGTTGTGAATGGTCCAATCGGAAGCAGGCTAAGTCTTCTGGGATTCAGACCCATGGATTGTTGTACATGTCAGCCAGGTCTTTCACATAGGAAGGAGCTGTGGCCACTGCTTTAACTCCTGTCCAGCTGTATTTATCTTTGTTCTGAAGTGAAACTCAAAACAAGTCTCAAATCCACAAGCACCTACCACCCAGCCCTGATGTAGGTGAGACTCAGGTCCTAAGACTTGGGACCAGCAGATTGCATAATGGTTATGTTGCTGGACTCCCACATGGCCGAGGTTCAAGTCCTAGACCTGGAGGCCTGAAACACACTGGGCATGTGTGTGTGTGTGTGTGTGTGTCCAAAATCCTGAGAGGAGAATGGAGGAGAAGGGATAGCTGTGCAGCCATTGCTCCTGCAGGGGGAGGGGATGTGATTTATCACTTTTTGTCTCTGTGTCTCTGGCAAGCACACATGTCCTATAGCAAAAAAATCTCTCTCTTTCTCTCTCTCCTCTCTCTCTCTCTCTCAAAAAAAAAAGACTAAAAATTGTAAGGTGTACATATAGACACAACCACAGGTGTGCCTGCTGAAAGGAAAGCCACTGTGAAAGCCTCTGGGATCTGTAGTCTTTAAGACTAAGAGATTTTGCTAGGGATGCTCTCCCATCTCCACTTTTAGGAACATGGGGAGATTTTTTTCTATGATATTGCCATAGGGCACATGCTCTCACCAGAGAGAGACAAAGGGAAGGAAAGTGACAAATCACTCTTCAGGGAGGATGCCCCACTGCAACACTACAATCTTTTCTCCATTCTCCTCCAGGAATTTTGGGCATGCATGCACCCAACCCTGGCATGATTTTCAAGCTACCAGGTTCAGGACTTGAACCATGGTCAGCCATGAGAGAGTCCAGTGCCTTAACCACCATGCCACCTGCTGTCTTCATAAACGTGGGTTTTAAAGTGCATAGTTTTTATTTTATTTTCACCAGAGGACATATGTGCTTGCTGGAAAGAGACAGAGGGAAAGTGAGAAACCCACCTGGGAGGATGACCACACCACAATCCCTTCTCCTCCAGTACTCTCTAGGGATTTGGGGTATGCATGCACATGCACCTGTTGTGATTTTCTTTCTTTTTAAAAAAGAATTATTTCATTTTATTTATTTGTTTATTATTAAATTTGCTATAGGGTGCATGCATGAGAGAGAGAGAGCAAGCAAGCTGCTAGGTCCAGGGCTAAAATTGCAGTCATCCATGTGGGAGTCCAGTGCCTTAACCTCTCTGTCACCTTCTGACTCCTATATAATTATTTTTAATGGAAGTGCATGGGAAGGAGAGATGGGGTCTTCTTGACAGGGCTTTATCATGTCTCAACCCTGTCCCAGCCTTTCGGTTAGCTGGGACTACAGGCACACACTGTACATGGCCTGCTCAGGCTGGGCTGGAACAGAACCCAGGCCTCTCACAAGGCCTCAGCCTCAGACATCAGTGCACTCCCCCCTGCAGCACCATGGTGGGGCCCCAGGAATTGGGGAAAGTGTGGTGGGAGGCCATGCTCCACCTTGCTTCCCTTTGCTTGTGGACACAGAAATGGTGACCCCTCCTGGGGGGCCTGGGCTCGTCCTCACAGCAGCCCCATGAGCACTCTAGCAGCCACATCTCCATATCTAAACTGGAGCCCAGGGCAGCCACTGCCACTCTTCCACCCGATAAACTAGAGCAGGTGGCCCGATCCAGCCTGCCCGCTTTCATAAATAACATGTTATTGGAATTTCCCCTGTTTTCAAGTTATCTCCAGCCACTTCTGTGTTCTGGTGACAGAGTTGAAGAGGCAAGACAAATGCCCTATGGCTTGGAAAGCTGAATTTATTTATCATGTGACCTTTTTGTTTGTTTGTTTGCTTTTGCCACAGGATGCTTGCACTCACCACAGAGAGACAGAAACAGTTAAAGGGAAAGTGAAAAATCACCCCCAGGAGGATGATCCTACCACAGTTTCTTTTCCTCCATTCCCTGGGATTTTCAGCATGCACACATGGCATGACTTTCAAGCCACCAAATCCAGGATTTGAACTGTGGTCAGCTGTGCAGGAGTCCAGCGCCTTAACCACTATGTCACCTACTGGCCCTGTTATGTGATCTTTTATTTTAAAAGTCTGCCAATGCCTGTTTGGACACTACAAAACTTCCCTTTAAGGCACTAGCAGCCTTCCGACCTGTCTGCGCACTTTGCAGTTTCCCATGAGTGCACCTCTCCATCTCTGCAGGTGGAGTGACATGGCTTCCATCCAGACCAGAGGCACACTGAGTGAGGATAAGAAGCACGACATTCTCAGTGGCTCCCAGATGGTCACCACCCCTGGGCCTTGGCCAGGCTCTCACAGCCCTCACTGCTTCCCTGTGACTGCCCCCCCACTGGGAATGGTAAAGGGTGTGCACTTAGTTTCCCAACCAATTGTTGCTACTTAGACAAAGAATATGAGGCTCGGTGGCTTGCACGACTTGCTCAGGCCAATGTCTGCAGTGGCAGAGCTGGGATTAGATCAAGGCTCAAGGCTCTCATGTGTCTGTGCCTCCAGCGCCCTCCTGGGCTGCCCTTACATGCTTCTATTTGCTTGCCTGTCTCCTCTTCTCTCATCTCTCTCTTTTTTTTTTCCCTTTTCTCTTTCTGCCAAAGGGCATGTGCACTCACTGGAGACAGAAAAGAAAGAGAAAAAAGCCCTATGGGGTGGTCAGGGTGCAATTTCTCCTCTACCTCTCCCTCCTCCAGGGATATGGGCACATGCACACAGAGCCAGTGGGCTTTTCTTGTTTAGCTTTTTATGCTATAGGGTAAGTACACTTGCCAGAGACAGAGAGAGAGAGAGGAAAAGTGGGAAATACCCCAGGGGGTAATTTCTCTTCTTCTCCATTCTTCTCAGGATTTTGAGCATGCATGCACATGTGCCTGGTGTAGTTTTCAAGTGGCCAGGTCTGGGTCTTAAACCATGAAGTTGGCCATTTGGATTCCAGTGCCTTAACCACCATACTACCTGCTAGCCTTCCTTTGCCTGTTTTATTTCTTTCTTCCATGTGCAACATGGAGAGAGAAATAGGCACCCCCTGCAGGATCTTGATACCACAGTTCACCACAGCCTGAACCAGCCCTGATCATGGGCTCACAGATGCCTGGAGCACCTAGGGAGACCGTGGGAACCTGCCATGTAGGTTAGCCTCACAGAGTATCACAGTCTGGTGCTGCAACACTATCCAGCCCATGTGCTTGTTTCTGTTTGTCATCAAAAACTCAAACACACACAGACGTCAGATGACGAACTCCCGCCACTTGCCATGAGTGTTTGCAGCTGCTCATTCATGGACAGCTCATCTGTCCACACTGCACCCACCCCCCAGCTGCATCTGTGGCAGTCTCAGCACTTATTTATCTTAAATATTTTTTATTTATTCCATTTTATTTGTTATTATTATTATTATTTCTTTTTAAATTTTATCAGAGAGAGACACACACAGAGAGAAAGGGAAAGTGAAAAAGCAAGCCACCAGGTCCAAGACTTGAACCATGGTTGGCCAGCACCTTGAGTCCAGTGCCTTAACCCCCACAACACCTGCCAGCCCCTTGGCACTTAATTCTAAGACATACAACTATTTAAAAAACAAACAAACCCATTATAATCAGTGTCCAAATTTTACTAATTGAATCACACCTTTTCTTAAGTTTGCTTGAATCCAGATCCAAAGAAGTATCAAACACGTGGTTTGTTGAGCAGTGTCTCTATCTTTCCCTCCTCCCAATTCTCACCCCTTCTGCTTTTTCTAAATTGACAAGTAAATAGCCTGACTCTGAACAACACAATTTAAACTGTGTGGGTCTCAGTAAGCGTGATAGAAATACAATATAGACCTGTAAGTGCATTTCTTTTTTGTGATTTTCTTTAACTTTTTCTCTAGGTTTCTTTATTGTGAGAACACAGTATGTAACATGCACACAGGATGTGTGTTAACCAACTGTTCATGTTGCCAGCTAGCCTCCCAGTCAACAATAGGCATTCTGTAGTTAAACTTGGGGGAGCAGAAAATTATACATGGGCCAGCCTGGGCTTGGCAGTAAGGAAGCTGAATATCATGGGGTTTGAGAAACATACTGGGCACATGTGCATGCATGCCCAAAATCCCCAAAGAGAGGGAAGAGAAGGGATTGTGGCATGACCATGCCCCATGGGAATGCTTTCTTGCTTTCCCTGTCTCTCTCTTGCTGCCTCTCTCTGGTGAGAACACATCCCCTCTAGCAAAATGAAAAGAAAATTAATGTAGGCCATTGTGGTGGCAAGACTGTTCCACAGACTAGTCACATATAGGAGGTCCAGTTTCAGTTCCGAGTCTGACCTAAAAGCCAGACACAGTACATATTTCTGTAACCCCCGATGTTCAGAGCACAGGCAACATCGCAAGGCCCTGCTTGAGAGACCTACCTGTGGTCCTGCCTGGGAGGCTGAGGTAAGATAATAGGACTGGTCTTAAACAAAATGTTCTAGATGGTTTTCCACCATATGAATGAGTTGGTCACCCTGAGTGTTAAATTGCTCAAGGGTCAGAGATTTGACTTACGATATACAGCCTGATATGTTATTACATGTATATCTTGTGAAATTATTATAAATGATTCATTTATTTTTTAGAGAGATTTTTGCTATAGGGCACAGGTGCTTGCTAGAGAGGCAGAGAGATAGAAAGTAAGAAATCACCCTCCAAGGGGGATGGCCCACCACCATCCCTTCTCTTCTATTATCCTCTCAGGATTTGGGGCACACACGTACACATGCCCAGCGTGAGTTTTAAGTCACCGGGTCCAGGACTCAAACTGCGGT